GATTATATATTTGTATGATTGGAGTCTCGTGAATCAAAATTCGTGACAACATCCTAATCTTCTCATTAGATCTTGTTACGATGTTTAATGTAAAATCACTCCCACTTTTTAACATATATAACCCTCAATTTTTAATAGGGGGAATTTTGACTGTGATTAGCTTGATAATTCCTCTCGCAATATTCCTCGTACTTGTATCTACAATACTTCACTCTTAATCATATATTGGAAATCGTTCCATGTTGAAATACGGATTATAATACTTTTAACTTGCCGCACATTCACAATACAATCCGCTACGCGATAGAAGTGCACGTAAGTCAAACTTTAAAAATATTAACCTCCTCTTTCAATTAACACAAAATAGAGTTATATCACGATAAAAAAATTTTCACGATGCCATATGAAATAAAATAATTAAATAAACCAATGTATAAATCAATCATACAAATTCTAACAATGTCATGAATCATTTAACCAATTTTACATTCCTCATATTCATTATCCCATGCGTTTTTCTTTGTTATCTTTATCGAAGTTCACATCCTTTCCTTTTTTATGGCAACAAAGCACACTCATAATCCTAATTTCTTTGTCTGAGAACCAATCTTAATTGTTGCAATCAGAGCCTTTTGTTGTAATCGGATTTTGACAGTTTTTTTTCCTTATCCAAAGGAATATCTGATGTAATGTTTGTTACAAACCACTCCCACCAAATATGCTCTTTGTTAGTTAAAATTGTATATATACTAAAAGCTGTAACTGGGATCATTTCCTTCCCAAACCCTCAACACAGGACTGCACCGTACGTTGTATCCACTACTCTTTATTAAATGTTTTTTCTACTATCTTCTACGAATTAATAACTTCCTCCTGAACCTAACGAAGCATACTTCCTCGAAATATTCGTCTGTACTTAAGAACAAACCCGTCAAACCACTTTTATTTCGACTTTCCCTACAAGAGCTGCTTGCTTTTGGAATTGTTCTTGGCCTTTGGAAGTTGTTGGAGCAATTGTATTTGTTAAAGTTGCTGAGGAATTAGTTGTTCCCAAAAGAAGTCTACTAGTTTCGGCAGTTCTTCCCTTTTCACAATATTTATTATTTATAAACGTAAAGTTAATTTTATAGTTTTCACTGAGTTTCACTTTGTATGTGGGTGCTCAAGAGGGTAGAGACCGCAAAGGGAAGAATATAAAAGGTCAGCGAAATATCTTAGGTAACGGATACCTATTAAGATGGCCAATCTTCAACTATATCAGTAGCAGTAATCTACCGATACATTTTTACACTACCGGATAGCGTCGTTTATAAACTTCCCCAAACAAAAACAGTCATTTTGCAATAAAAGGTTCCGAAGTATGACCAAACAATGAATATTTCCCATCTGATTATCAACCTCTACGACGTAGAGAACTATCTCACAAAATCCTTCATTTCTATAGTTTGTATCAGACACCGAAATGATATCAACATGCTTGAATTAAGAGTATTACTTCCACTTATTGACCTCATCTCTCTTGATTGGAGTTTTCCATTCTCAGTAAGAGGTAAAGTCGTAACAGAAACATGGAGGAGAGAATTCAATGATCCTGAATAACAGTGCGCAAAGGATGGATATGATAATGATTTGTAAAAAGCTGCGTTTTCAAGAACAGGAATTATCTCAATGTAGAGACGTTCTTATCTCTGTACCCAACATTACTGCTAAATTAGAAAGATAAATGAAGAAGTTACTAAAATGCACAATGGAGTTCTTGTATACTTTTTACTGCACAGTCTATGACGATATGTGAATGCAGGCGAAGCAATCTACTCAATTACTAGAATCTACGATACGTGTTTTCATAAAACTCATGAGGTGTCGTGTTGATTACATATACAAATTTGCCATCATTCAAGTACTTTTCTTTAACTGCATGATTTGACACGGAAAGTACAATAAACTAGACAAAAATCTGAGGATGCGAAAAAAGAGGCCTTGCTTTGCAACACTTCTATATCATAATTTATTGATTCTAAAAACTACACAAAAAATTACAATGGTCTGCTAAAGTATATGTATAAAAAAATAAACATATCTCCATTCGCAATATGTTGCAAGGATGTTACAAAGTGTCTCAAAAATGTGCAACTTAATTCAGTGCACAACTGACGCAGCTGACGATTTCATCCCATCAAATGACGTAAATGATTCATGCTTAGTAGAACCATTAGAACGAGTAATTCCAAACAGGTTAACCCAAGTATAAGTTAACTTAAATGTCATGACTTAATTCCAATTACATAGACCTACTAATACGGTCACTACTGGGATGCCTTGATCTGGGTTCATTGCAAAATTCGGCTGACGATGAACGCTCCAAAGTGTTTACGGTAAAATTGTCGTAGCTGAAATACAACATATATTGACAGAAATTGATGATGAGACTAACAAAAAGCCGAAAATTTTATGAAACAGGACAAATCAGAAAATGCAAATTGGGAAATTGTCAAAAACCTAATTTCCTACCGCTTCATGATCGAATAAACTAACATGTACAATTCGGGTTTTGTTACGAAATCACGCAATCCGTCGATCTGGCGCAAATCATTTTCTATAGCTCTGATATCACCATCAAAAGTATCGTGGAAAACGCAACCATTCTCAGTTTCGGTCCAGTTAATAAAATGATTCATTCTAGTTGAAATCAACAGTTTAGGTCGTCTCAAATTTAAGCGTTGTAAATTTTCAATATTGACCTGAAAAACAAGCGTATCCTTTTTTTGCCACGATTCATTGTCTTACTCTCGATCCAGAACAAACTTAGTCTTCAATTCGAAGTAGAAAAATATGAAGTTCTCCAGAAACTATTTCCGTATCTAAATTGCTCGGCATATCCATTGAAACTGAAACCGAAAACCCTTCATCAAATGAATTTTGAACAATAATTCTGAATCTCACGCTCTTCTCCAGTAAACAGTACCTTATTTCCATGAAGTTTGAGGAGACGTAAATTCGGCAAGTCGTCGTCGTTCAAATTATTCCACATTTCATCTTTATAACATTCCCCCAAGCTGCTTAAATCTAGGAACATCAAATGCCTGAAATAGACATTCGGAATCGTTATTTAACTTTATGTAAGAGGGAACTTTGAAGATCCCTCTTACAACTTGGAACGAGTAGTGCAAAGTAGTGAAAAATTGAACTTATGAATTGAACTTATTCTTTGGACACTTAAAAAAACTCTTGAAAAATAGAAAATATAAGCAGCAACAACAGTTCAAATATTTCGATAAACCAATGATAAGAAATCACTTACTTGAAATTATGAATAATGAAAGGCATAATTTCATCCTTGAAGAATGAAATTTCATTAAAAGGTAGACCAAGTGTTTGCAAATCTGGACAACTGCAATAGATCATAACTAGTTACCGCAACAGCACATTTACAATAAAAATTATTATAAATTGGATAAGGAAGAGATTGGCCCAAATATATTTTTTGCCGGAAATTAACTCACCTCCGATCGATGGCTTGAAGAAGATCGCCACTGGTTTGGAAATAATTTCCGATTATTAAATGCTTAAGTTTGTACGGGAATGACTTTTCGGGTTTTTCATCGGGCAAAGTGAACAAGGCAGTCATACCTACGGACGAAATAAAACAATTTTCTAAGAGTGAAGAAAACAAAAATGTGACAGTTGGGACGAGAAAGAAAGTAACTATTATGGATTAATCATTCAGGGGAAACCACAACATACTCCATTTCCAACAAATTATTCCAAGCATTATATTAAAATACCAAACATGGATATGTATATATATATATATTACAGAATTCTTCGAGCAAGCTCAAGGCTTAGCATATATGTTACAAGCTCGTGGCGAGCGCATGTGTCGTATTTGGTTCGGTCCTTGGCCATGGGTTTTACTCTATGGAGCAGAGGAATGCGAAG